AGAAATCGTGACCAAATTTGAGGTATTTCCTGGAGGTACTGAGGGAAACCACCGATCTCCGGACCGAGACTTAAAGCCGCGATCTCCCAAATACGAACCACTATTCCTACCCATTCGTCCATTCTTATGGACACCGTATTTGGTCCAATACAAACAAACAAACAAACAAAAAACAAACTCCGTGGTATTAGTCCGCAAGCAAATTATACCGAAAGAGCGACCGCCGTTTGTCGGTGAAGTTAGTACCAACTTCAGCGGATAGAGGGTGTCGCATGATCAGCACAATGAATCCCCACGGCCGGTAATTTCGGTTTTCTAGACCTGAGCCGCTATTGAAATAGCCTTGAAATAGCTCTTCAGTTATCATCACGAGGCTGAGTGAACCCCGTTCCAGACCAACTACTTCTCAGAAAATCTGGTAGCACTGGGAATCGAACCCGGACCTCTGGATCTGCAGCCAGGAACTCTGACCACTAGACCACAGAGGCGGTCCCATACAATGTGTGATATTTCTTGATCATCTGAGCGACTATCAACAACTTCATCACGGAATTTAGTTACGTAGTTTTAGTGTTCTTCTTTCTGACGTCTTGCTGCAGTAGATCGGCTTGTTAAGCAGCTACATTCAGATAACGTACAGTAATACAACGGGACCTTTTCATGGTCTCTCTTAATGGATACACGCGTTCATACACAGAGCGCACTTTGCGCGGCGACCATAAGATATAAATCCAAAAACTACTGCCCTTTTAGAGCAGCAGAAGCAGGGGGAGGTTTGCATTGACCATAGAATTCTATAGCCAGGCCTCCACACAATTTGACTGAGAGTTATGCACTGGAAAATACGTTGAGAGACATTTCAATGTTGGGCCTCAGAACAATGGTCGACTGGCTTCCATTAGGTCCACATAACTCTGCAAGGGGTAGCAGATAACAAAAGAAGCCCGCCTCACCCCCACCCCTCCGCCATAGTGTTGCGGTTCTTATGACGATTTGTTAGGCTATTTGCTTTCGTTAATACTAATCCTTGTCTGAGGCAGTGATTATCAGTCTATGACACGCATACCCACATGTGAACGTCAGAATACTGAATAACACATTTACTTTTCATATAATTTAGTATTGATTTATTTAATTGCAGAGATTATATGAGTCGAATTATTATTAGTATGATTAGTAAATAATACACTGGAAAGTATATGGAAGGAGGCGGTTGTAGCCTCGTTACTGAAAACTACTTCAAGGGATTTGAGTAAAACTACGGAACATCTCATACAGGCTAGCCTATTTATAAGAGATCATCGTTGCATCGTATCCTAAGCCAGATTATTCCAGTCCACACTCTCCACTCTATTTCTTTAACATCCATTTGAATACAAGACGAATTTTAAGGCTCAGAAAGAGCACAGCGTCACAATTCGTTTTCAGAACTTTAACGAGTACATCAACGAACAATGCGCACGATACAAGTTTCACAAAAACAAATACGCTTAAGAAGTGTCTAAACGTCGAAGATTCCAACAAGTAAACTTATTGATTTACCTCTTCTTTACAAGCAGATACAACCTAAAGCACCTACACTCCGACACGTTTTATATTACTTGCAAGCCATAAGATATTCTACCTACACAGTCAGGTGGGTTGATCGGCCGTTCTTGCCGTGAACATAAGAAGTGTCGTTATGAAAGAAGGTACGATAGAGGCCGTTAAAAGGAGGCGAAGAAGACGAGATAAGAGGGCGGTATAATAGAAGAGTACAGCATTATTTGCTATCAGAGCCCCAGGCTACGCGTGTTTAGGGAACACAGGTTTATAATCTATTGATCCATGCAGTCGCTGCTCAAAAGAACTAGTCGCTAGGTAACAAAACTCCTCCCGCCGCAAAGAGAACGGCGGTGCTCGTCATTAACCTGCATCCACACACGAGGCTCTGGACGCCGACTAACGGCAGCAGCCCTGTTAAAACTTCCATCAGCGAACAAACAAAACCTAGTCATGTTTCTAAAGGGTTCTGACGATGGTGGATAACATACAGAATTGCTGGGTTTTGGGACTTTATCCATCGTCCGGAATTCCAGGAAATAGAAAACACGACGTTTCGGAAACTGGATCTGTTTCCGTCTTCAGGTGAGGAAGGAAGATACCCACTCAGTTGGGCCCTTTAGAAAGAGCTAATCCTGTGAGTAAGTGATTGAGATTAGCTCTTTCTAAGGGGCCCAACTGAGTAGGTGTCTTCCTCACCTAAAGATGGAAACAGATCCAGTTTTCGAATCGTCGTGTTTTCTATTTCCTGAAATTCAGGATGGCCGAGCGGTCTAAGGCGTGCACTGTCTTGCTCGCTCGGAAGCCGGGATCGTGGGTTCGAATCCCACTCAGGGCATGGATGTTTGTGTGCGTTTTTTTGTGTTTGTGTACAGGTAGAGGCCTTGCGACCAGCTGATCACCCGCCCAAGGAGTCCTACCGTATGTCTAAGATCTAGAAAAACCGAAGTGAACAGAGAAGTTCATGGAGGTAGAGCTAGGCCCACTGGGGCTGTAGTGCCAAGGAAAAAAAAAATTCAGAATGATGGGAAAAGTCCGAAAACCTAGTAATTCTGCCAGTCATGACTGTTGGCTATAATCTTTAACACTTCTACTTTTAATAAGCAATATATCCAACCCTCTTAAGTCGGTCAGTTACCTGAATACCTACTTTTTAACTTATTTCATTATATTGTCACGTGTAGGATTTATGGGTGACTTATAAGACGGGTTTTGGATTGGATGATTGGATTTATTGACACCTTATACATTCACTTCGGGACTACAGGTAATACAGCGCTATAGCTGATCTACACACTTCGCAGTTCACCGTTAAACACGCACTAAGGTTCGCAGTCTTCACTAATCGTATTCTGGCAACAGTTTTATAACAGTCTCATTGTAACTTCAAATCACATATGAAGTCTTCTTTTCACAGCCTAATTCATTTCTTGTCACTATTCTGCAACTCAAACTCAATTCAATTCCTCTGCTCCCAAGCTCATATCCTGGAAGGCTGGCATCTCGAAACTCGACTAACTCTTCTTTACAACCACTCTGCACCGACGACGCAAATAAAAACAGCCTCTCTATTGTTGGGAACTCATTTTTACAGCTGTGTTGCATAGCAAAGGAAGTTACTCGATTGTTGCTTGCGTATTCGTTGCCGCAGAAATGTCTTTACCGAATCGTTGCCTAGCAATGAACGTCTATTCTGACTGCTATTCCTTCGGGCGACATGCCACAATATGTTAGCCGATTTGTTAGATACTTTGTGCATTAGTTTGTTAGTTGCTTAGTTTAATTTATATATTTTTTACAAGTTTATGAGTTGTTAGTCTGTCTATAATATCTAAGTATTTTGACGGTTGGTTTATTCTTTATCTTAGTTTGCTAATTGGTTAGATACTTCATTAATCGGTTGCTTCGAAAGTTGATTACTTGGAGTTGGTCTCTGGGGTCCAGAAATGTACGTCAACAGGCAGTCTGGCGTTCACCCCACTGGGGTGTTCTAAGACATGAAATACTCTTAATCTCCATGTTTTTATTGACGTAATTCAGTCAGTTCGAGCAGCGTCACTTTGTGCAGGAGTGAACTACAGGTCACATGAAGTATACTTTTATGTGAAAAGAAACGATACTCCCTAGAGTAGTGAGGACGGCAAGAAAGTACGCATGATTGAACTACGGAGAAAATTACATGTTCATGACCTCATTATTTATACTAAGCACAGGCACCAACGCTCTCACTTCGGGACGTGAGGGCTTCTAATATCGGCCCCAGGACATCGACTATCCTTTGTATTCCTCGGTCCTCGAAGCAAATTCAGGGCAGTATCTTAGGTTACACCATGACTTCTTTCTATTACACAATCTTCAGTTCACTATTCATGACCATACAATGATTAGACGCTATGGTCACCTCTGTGGTCCAGTGGGCAGAGTTCCTGCCAACAGATCCAGAAGTTCCAGGTTCGATTCCCAGCGCTACCAGATTTTCTGAGAAGTTGTGCGTCTGGAGCGGGGTTCACTCAGCCTCGTCAGGATAATTGATGTGCTATTTCAAGGAAACAGTGGGAACCGTTGCGCTGAACACGTGACACCCGCTATCCGCAAAACTTGGCACTAACTTCGCCGACAAGCGGCGGTCGCTCGGTCGGTATAGTTCGCTCGCGGACTACAGGCCACGAAGTTAATTAGACGCTACACTCACATAATCCGAGTAGTAACAGCATCGTTAAACAAGCTACCAGATATTAGCCTGATATCATAGGAGAGGGTGAAATGGGCGGGGTAGGTAGCGAGTAGGGGGGAGATGAGAAATATGTATGCACACAATTTTAACAGGAATACCTCAAATGGCGAATTAAATAGCGGACCCAGAGAGCTACGGAAAAATAATATTGTTACATAATTTTATGCAGTGTGCTATAGATGGATTTTGGACTGATGACCGCATTTATTGGACTCTTTAATATAGCGCGTGACTACATTTTACAGCTCACTATTACACACACATACTAGCGTCCAAAGTCACGTCTTCACTGTCGTTTCTTGGTAGCGGCCTCCAACTGCAGACGTTCACCTTGCTCTGGGTTCCCGAACTGCCACCGGCCTCAGCTACTGGCTTCTCACAGCAACAGCTCACAACGACTGAACTGCAGCAGTCCTCTATCTAACTCACTCACTCAACAGCCGACTTTCTGCAATAACTGGCCCTGCTTATAATATCTTGGCACAGACCGAGTAGCAAATACAGTTCTTCTGTTGCCGTGGAAGCATGTTTGCGGAGCCGTTACTTAATAACGGCTGCTGTATAATTATTTCGCAGTCGTTAATTATCAAAGGGTCTACATGTCACATTATTAAAATTAATCTCGAAGGAAAAGGATGAGAAAGTATGCACTTCAGATCTGATCCATGTAACAATGACAGCGGAGCTCCCGTTTAAATGCGAGACAGACGAGATGTGTACTGACCTGACGACGAGGGGATGCCTGCATGTGGACTCATGAAGTTCAGCTTTGTGGAATGATGATAGCTGGACATGAACAGGTCGGACTGGTACTTGTAGGCAGCTGGGTCCGCTGTGGCGGGCTGCGTCGCCGCCGCCAGTCCCTGGAAGTCGAACTTGTAGGCATATCGCTTCCCGTGTACCTTGGTCATGATGTTCTTGTCATAGTAATACCTGCACAAAGCGGCGCCATCAAACACATTTTTGTTAACATTAAGAAGAACCGTATCTCCTGGGATATAATACCGTGTAGTCCGTTGAAAATCAACCGACGTTTCGGAGGAACATATGTTCAGGGTCGAAGCAAGCAAGAAACCAGCATGAAGTTGGCAGCAACCAAGCTGCTTAATGCCGGTTTCTTAAATGGTTCATTCTTCTAATCTGAAGATGATGTGAACCTCCGAAAAGTCGGTTGAATTTCAATCGATTACACGACGTTATATACTCACCTCCAACTAGTGCCGAGGTCATGAAAACGTGGATCTATACATTCACTTCCCCATACGTCTTCGTTGCGTAGTGTTTAATTTGTTAAGCACAGGGACAACGTTTCCTTCTACACGACGTTATGCCCCAGAATATATGGCTCTTCACAGACACCGCTGAGAGAACCTCAAACACGCTTGTTAGGGAAGTGCCATTTCTTCATCATTAAATTTGAAATAATAGAAATTATTACAGATTATGCCTATCTTTTAAGCATGTATTAACATAGACTAATTTTCTATTCCCTTCCGTTGTGGTTGAGAACAGTGATCACTGTATGCGTTGAACGGGCGCCACGAAACGAAACCACGGTGGACATAGTCCGTTTTTACACTATATTCCGACTATGGCCGCATAGCTGCCAGAGACGCAAAAAACAGAGAAGCCTTGGAGAAAGGTTTTATATATTAGCTGCAATTTATTATGGTCAACATGTTTTATTTCAAACCATTTTTCGATATGGTGATATTTAACGAAATATACTGAAAAACAGTGCCCCATTCAACAATATGTATTCCCCTAGAAGTGTGAAAGGACGCACTAAAATGTTAATTTCTGCTGCTCTTCAAATATATGTCAGAAAAATTCAAATCTTAATTTCCTATGAATCTACAACCTTCACATTTTCACAGACGTGCAGTTGTTTCTAAATCATTTGGTCTTATTTTCAAAGGGAAGGTAAATTTGAGAAAAGGCAAAAAGGTTATTACAATACAGGCAGGATATTCACGCCAGCCACGCCTAAAGCTGTTCTACTCAAATAAAACTCATAAAAGTAAAATTTACATAAGGAATATAAGCATGTATCAGCAACACAGCAACACAATAATTTAAACTCAAAATCCCCTTTCCTAAACTTCAATAAATTATTAGAAAAATACACCAATCATAAAATGCGTATAAGGCACAACCTGAAAAAGCAAATGCTTCCAAACTTGATCTGGGTCGCTACTTAAAAGAGCACACCCCTCATCACACAAAGCACACAGTCCTGTGTTCACAGCCCTCTCATTATCACATCTTTCGTGGAAACATATTTTGCACTCCACGCACTGAATGCAAACATGTGTTTGAGAGTCGAGACAGTAACAACCTCAGTCCCTACAAAAGAGGCCATTTTCTTTTCTTCGTGCTATTCTTCTCAGTGTCTGGATTTGTTCCCTTCCCTTTAGTCACCAAAGTCGAATTCATACTGAAGGATCGCTGAGGAGCGTCAGTTTTCGACCAACACTTGGAGAAGGCATTGCCTACCGGATAGAACGTCCTACTGACGTCGAACGAGCGCTTAAGCTTCTTCAAGAGTGGAAGGCCGTTCCTGATGTAGTTTCTTGCCCTCGGTTGACGTTGCAGTGTAACGGACGCTCTGAGACAGAGCTGGGAGCGAGGGTCGTTTCCGGTAGGACGTCCGGATTAAATAGATTAAACCCCGTTGATCCGAACCCAGCTACTGCAGCTCTCGGGGTGACAGTTTTCAACCAGGCTTCGGCTAATAATTTTGAAAATTAAAGTTAGCCAGTTCATCTTCCTGAATTTTCCGTAATGTACGTGGTAACTGTCCAGAGATTCATTCCGATAACACGCGAAAAGACGAAAGAAATTTGTTCTGTGGTTGGAGCTCATGGCTTTAGTCAGCAGGAAGACAAAGTAACAAAATGTAATGTAATGGCCTTAATCGCTGTTCACTGTTCCCATTGGTCCCCCCTCTCCCAGACCCCCCCCCTTCCGCTTCCTATATAAACTAGTGCTCCTCACTCCCGAATCATTGCAGCTACTGCCCTCTGTATTCGCATCGCGATTCACCTGCTCTGAAGATGGAGGCGATACGTTCCTCCGAAACGTCGGTTAAAACCAAGAATAAACGACATCAGATCCCAGAAGACGACTATCTTCAAAGTAACAGAATGTTTAGCAGATTCTAAAGGGTTCTCACGATGTTGTATAACACTCAGAATTACTGCAAGTGGACACTGGACACTGAATCTGTTGTCTCACGGTTGCTCGCCCGGTAATACTTCATCGCATACTGCGGTTGTGGAAGCTTCAATCAGGACTAGAGACCTCTGAAGCAAATCCTCTTATCACGGAGTTAGTTACGAAAAATTCTTCTGTAAGTGAAAAACAAACTCCGTGGCCTGTAGTCCACAAGCGAACTATACCGACCGAGCGACCGGCGCTTGTCGGCGAAGTTAGTGCCAACTTTGCGGATAGAGGGTGTCACGTGGTCAGCGCAACGGATCCCCAAGGCCCTTAATCTCGGTTTTCTAGACCGGAGTAGCTATTTCCTTGAAATAGCTCCTCAGTTATCCTCACGAGGCTGAGTGGACCACGTTCTAGACTCATTACTTCACAGAAAATCTGGCAGCGCCGGGAATCGAAGCCGGGCAGGAATTCTGACCACTAGACCACAGAGGCGGTCTGCTGTGAAGTGAAGGGACGTTATTTTTTATCTTAGCCATACACACCCTGTCTACAGCCTCACAACGTACAGAAAGCAAGAAACTGTCTTTTATATCCTTAAATTTCCTTGACAGTAAAAATACATCTGGTAAATTGAGACGGGCTTTGAAAATGAGATCCAGGGCCTTTCTTTTGTGAGGTATAACTGTTAATATTGCTTTAGTATTGTTTTAAAAATATGGGAAACAGGATGCATAAAAAATGGCAAATACACAAAGATCTATCAAAGCATACGTACACTGAAGATATGAATCTGCTCAAATGTGAGCAATGCATTCTCTCCTCTTTTGATTTTTTCGTCCGGGCGTGAGCAGTTTTATGTTTCATTAATTCTTCGCCGGATATGCGCAGTCTATGCCAATCACACACACATGTTGCGTGCCTCCATTATCTGTTCATCATTTCCCTCACAGTGTACATTGCACGGGTATTTAATTGAGCAAGATTCGCTCTGTACCTGGTCCTTCTCTTTTTTTCATCGGAATAGAACCATTAACAGTTGGATTAAAAATAGAAAGGGATGAGTTCTATCGCTGCAAGTGTGGTCAGTCAGTCGTTTTATACCATTATGACGCTTACAATTCCTCCCTCGGTCTATAGGCCAGGGATGGCCAAAATATGAAATCCAATTATTTGTCTATCAATATTCGATAAAACATGCAGTAATCTCAAAGTTTTAGGAGTAAGAGTTCTATATCTCTTCCTCTAGCACTTTACAGCAGTGTAGTAACATACGTATTAAAGTAAAGTAAAGCTATCCCTGTAACAGGCCGTGAAGGCCCATAGGGTTGTGAGACGTTGAGGTTCCCACATTATCTAGACAATTGGCTCAAAGTTGGCGGTAAGGTTGTCAGCCTTACGCGCCGGCCGCGCTTTACTCCCCGGGAAAAATTATTTAATTAATTCCTGGTACTCATATCTGTTATATGCTAAGTAAACCCCAGGGCCTAGTGCGGCTGGAAGGATTAGGTCAACTGAAAAATTCAAATGATCTCATCGGGACTTGAACCCGCGACCTTCCGGCTTGTGGCATAGCCCCTCAACCAACTAAAAAAATAAAATCCGTGGCAAACGAACTATACCGACCGAGCGAACGCCGCTTCTAGGCGTAGTGCGAACTTCTGCGGACAGAGGGTGTCATGTGGTCAGCGTAACGGATCCTCATGGCCGTTAATCTAGGTTTTCTAGATCGGAGCCGCTTCTTTTCCATTCAAGTACCTCCTCAGGTATCCTCACGAGGCTGCGTGGACCCCGTTCCAGACCCACTACTTCTCAGAAAATGTGGTAGCTCCGAGAATCGAACCCGGGACCTTTGATCTGTAGCCAGGAATTCTGATCATTATACCACAGAGGCGGTCCCAACTATACGTACTATCTGCTTAAATGCTCCTTATGTGCTTGTGTGGTTCTTAAAAAACGCAGCAAATTTTTTCCTACGCTTAGCTGACAAAATTTATATTTTCCACGAACTGCCCTATTCAGTTCGTCAGGAAGTCGAACGTGAGGAGAGTATCATGCACAATAAAGATTTCTGCAGCTGAGCTCTCTCGTTATGGGCCTAAACTGCCCACCTAAACACCTCGTTCTAATATATCACTTAAGGTAACAAATAAGAATATATCTTTTGCATATAAAAGCCTTTCATCTGGTGTTCTCCGACCGCCTCTGTGGTTTAAGTGGTAAGAGTTCCTGGCTACAGATCCAGAGGTCCCGGGTTCGATTCCCGGCGCCACCAGATTTTCTGAGATTTAGTGGGTCTAGAACGGGGTCCTCACAGCCTCGTGAGAATAACTGAGGAGCTACTTGAATAGATAAGATGCGGCTCCGGTCTAGAAAACCGAGATTAACGAGCGTGGGGGTTCGTTGCGCTGACCACGCGACACCCTCTATCCGCTAAAGTTGGCACTATCTTCGCCGACAAGCGGCGGTCGCTCGGTCAGTATAATTCCCTTGCGGACTAAAGCTATGGAGTTTAGTTTGTACCTGGTGTTCCGTTTCTCCGTCTTTCGTCTGGTTGCTAGGCGACTATAACTAGTCTATATCAACGGGTGTTTCGTTTCCTGGCAACGGCGTTGAATTCGAAGAACGATTACAGTAGGTCGCAACAGTTGTAAACAGCAGAATATACAACTAGAACAGTGGTTCTCAAAGTGTGTGAGCCCGCCTTCTATAAGGCGAAGGCCCGGTATAATTGACGCCAGAGCCTGGTACCGGGCCGCAGCCGGGCGGCT